ATAATTCCACTACATTTACCATAGAAAACAAAAACACTAATTCAAAAAGGTATCTGCATCCTTAAGTTTATTGCAGCATTATTTCCAAAAGCCAGGATATGGAAGCAACCTGTGTCCACTGATAGCTGAATGGATAAAGAAGATGTGGTGTATATATATATACGAATATTAATTCAGCCACAGAAAAAGTGAGATCTTACCATTTGTGGCAACATGGACAGACCTAGAAGGTATAAGTGCAATAAGTCAGAGAAAGACAAATGCCATATGATTTCACTTATGTGTAGAATCTAAAAAACAAAACCTATAAACGAACAAACAAAAAAGCTGAAACAGGCCCATAAATTCAGAGAATATACTGGTTGAGAGAGGTGATAAGGGTCGGGGGGATGGGCAGAATAGATGAAGCACAGTGACAGGTCTGGAAGTTATGGAATGAATAAGTCATGGTGATCAAAAGCACAGCAAGGGGATATAATCAGTGGTATTGTAATAGTGTTGTATGGTGACAGATGGTAGCTATCCTTGTAAGGAGCACAGTACAGAGCTGTGGAATAACTGTGCTGTACATCCGAACCTAATGTAACAGAGTGTGTCAGCTATACTTAAAAATATACATACATACTTACAAACATACATACATACATAAAATGGACATTTATTGATGAAGCCTTTGCCATTATACAGAATAATGGATGCCTGTCACTTTCTCCCTGGTATTCACCAGCAACCTATTTCAAGTAAGTTTAGTTTGGTTGTGGAGTTCTAAAACAAGGCCACTTTTATCCAAGAATCGAAAATTGCTACTGGTATGCAGAAGACGATCACTTACATTTTGACTTTTAAAAATTCTATATATGCCTATCGTTGTCATGCAAAGGATGCTGTATTAGGGAAACATGGAATCCTATGCTAAAAAAGAAAGCTTGGCAGATCTTGACAACAGAAGACCCAGGTCAGAGAAAGTTATCCATATGGCTCGTCTCACATTCTCTGCAGTCTTTCTAGGAACAAAGAGGTGCTTGCAGAAAACTCTTTCATGCAATCTTTTTGGAAGAAAGTTGTTCTTTTAAATAAACAAATGTATTTTCAACTTTTTCTCTTTGATGGGATATGTTTTAATGATATGAATTATAGAATTAGATAAAATTACTAAAAGCCCCAGGACTATACTGGCAAAGAGAACAAAGATGACAAAATAGACTTCAATTGACCATAACGAAACAGATGACTGGCAGAATACTTACTGGTTTCATTTCTGAGCTTGAAAAAAGTAACTACCTCAAGCAAAAGAACATTATTTAGAGAGATGAAAGACATCTCTACAGGGAAAAAGAAAGAATGTTCTATTAGATTTTTAAAAGGACTTAGGAAACTAGGAGAGACAAGCTAAATGGTTAAAATTGACTTAGAAAAACTGCAAAATGTTTTGATTTTGCAAAGCATTTTAGCGTTCAAACTTGCAGAACTTGACTGGTTCACTATTTTATTTAATAATCGAAAATGCTCACAAACGGTATTAGAATCAATGATTTATTTTTTACAATTTTAATGATGAATGTAAACTTAGGAGGAAGAGAACACTTAAATAGTACTATCTGCCTCCCAAAAGGAAAGAAGCAAATATTGTACACTTTATTCTAATAATTTTTTTAAAAAGCATGAAATTCTTTTTTTTTTTTTTTCAAATCGAATAATATTTAGGATATGTAAATCAAGTTTATAATTTAAAGGAACTATGTGCTTCATCTCATGGATATAATTAGCCTCAAATCCTAGTTTGGCTACTTCTAAGTTATGTGGTCTTGGCCAAATTATTCACCTTTCTGCTCCTTGGTTTTCTCATATATAAAGTGGGTTGAAGAACTCATTCCTCATAGAATTACGATAAGGATTTAATGAGATAATGGATAGGAAGGGCCTAAAAGAGAGTGTGGAATATAATTAAGGGGTTTATCATTGTAATAATTCTTCTTTCTCACCATTATGATTATTAATCTTTTGACAGCATGGATAACCATCTCTTAATTTATTTCTTTAGCTTGAATTTTTATATAGTTTTTAAAATGGGATATTGCTAAGTAGTATTCTTTTCCCCCTAAATTAAGCATTTTCCCTAAGTTAAATATTCTCTTATTTCTCTGCGGAAGACAACTTAGACTCTTCTATTGTGAATTATTAGTTTCCTGTTGTTTAACTCATGCACAGAATACTGCTATTTAAATACTAGCTGACCTAACAAGGTTAGACAGAATATAAGACAGGAATGGTCACTTTGTCATTGTGGATGATAGACTGATGACATCTGAATTTTTTGTGAGATTATCAGGAATCTGAACTTTCTGAAAAATCTGTACGTTGTATACACACACATAAACAGTCTTATAACTCCTGCTCACATTTTTGTCAGAGTCCCCACACGGGTAAGACTCAAGGTGCAAAGAGTTTGTAACATATACTACTGGATCCTTACAACATATACTCATCCCACAACATCAAACCAGAGAGCTGAAGCTAAGAATACTCATTCCAGTCAAAAAATTCACCATTCTGCCAAGAGAACAAATACTCTTAGCCCCATTACCACTTCCAGTTCTAATATCAAACCAAGAATTCCTTTACTTTTTCCATGTTATGTTCACCCCTGACGAACATCTAAGAAACCTGCTTCTCTGAAAGGTTTAGGAAGTGACTTACCCATAGCAAGAAGCCTTGCTAGGGCCCAAAGGATTCCTGGCATAATAAGTCATCACTTTTATAAGCATCCTTCTGCCTACCACAAGCTGGAAAGCTGTATTTTGGCAACTTTCTCCTGAAGCTCAACTTTTTGGTGACTACTAGAGGGAGGATGACCAGCCAAGCGGGCAGAGTCACATCTTTGCCCCTGGGCTGTAGGGGCATAAGATGTGGCTCTTCATTTCTATGCTGTTCAAAGCGTGCACGTCTATCCCACTAGCCAGTAGGGGGTCCTGTCTAGGAAAGGCATGGAGGATTCCAGAGGCTTTTCCCAGGAAGAAGACTTGAGTCTGGATTCCCGTTAAACATCCTCTTTAACCGGGGCTGAGTTTTAGGTATTCTGATTTAGTCTGGGAAAAATTTCACTTTATGGAAATAGCCCAAAGGGCTGACAGATGTACCTAATGATCATGGTGGTTGCTCCCTGGTAAAGTTGGAATGTCAGAACTCGGGGTTGTATGTAGCAAATGCAGCTTTGCATCAGCCTCTATTGGATCTGAAGTGTGTGTGGGTTTCCGACCACACCGATCCCACTTGGGGAAGCATGTAATTCTGGGCACATTGTGTATCAATGGGTATAAGTGACATATTATTTATAAAATTAGGGTCTGTTTCTCTGCTTTTATTAGAATTCAGAGACCCTGAAGGTGAATTAAATCATCTTTAGGCTCTCTAAGAAGGCTGGCCACGTCTCGTGCTGAATGCTGAATCTATGTTCTGGTAACTTTATGGGTCACTTCTGTTATATACTAGAATACTCCAGAAGAGCTGAATTGTTGCATCCTTCATGGAAATCTGCAGTGGTTTCTGTGAGTCAGTATGTGGGGAAAGGAAGGGAAAATAATTCTATTGGGTAACCTTATAAAATACTTAAAGCTCTTCAATTTAAAAGATATTTAGAGAGTATGACCGTGCTAAGATTTAGGGAGTAGTAAAAAAAAACAAAAACAAAACAACAAAACTGAAAACAAAGTCTCAAATGACAAACTAAGCAAAATAAGATTCCTACCTCTTGAGCTTAACTTTTACTGCTGAAACAGGCATATCCACAAATAATTAATAACAGTTTTAACACTTATTGTACACTTTATAAGTACCGGGCTCTGTTATATGTTTTACATCTTAAAAAAATGTAATTCTTAAAATAGCCCAATGAGCTAGATGCTGTTATTACTGCTATTTATAGATAAGGAAAGAGAAAGAGGAGGGATCCATAGCTTGTAGCTTGTTCAAAGTCACAGAACTGGTAAGCAGTGGAGCTATAATTCAAACCTGGGCCGCCTGCTCAAACAGCAAGCTATTTACAACTTCTCCAATTAAAGTGTGAGTGAGTACTATAATTAAGCTCTTATAAACAAGGGAAATAGAAGAGGTGGTATAGGCACTGGATTTTGAAAAATAAGTAAGACACTGACAGTAGGGTATTAGGGAAAAGAACATTCTAAGCAGAGGTGACAGCTGGGAGGGGTTGCTGGGCATGGCTGGAGAGATTGCAATGCCAAGTGCTGGGGTGAGAAAGATGGTCCAGGTAGGCTGTGTCTATCTAGACCGTGAAGATCCTGAGTGGTTCCGGAGGGAAGAAATGTGGTCCCTTTCTCCTCCCCTCTTTTGAGATGCAATAAAATATGCTAATGAGCAAGCTTTTGCTGAGGGAAATGGCAGAAGGACACTTGCAGGGATGCAGAAGAAAGGGTGTTTGATGGGCATACTGGGAGTCAAGGGACTCACCGTTGGCTCTGCCCCCTGCTTCTTTTCCAGGTCTCCCAAGGGAGGCGAGAGGTTGACCTTGTGATACAAAGAAGGCACTCTACTCTACCGCGGCAAACAGTTTGGCAAACCAGCTCTGACCAACTGGTAGAGTCTTTCTGAGGTGATATTTAGAAGGTTCTTAGGCTGAATTCAGGCTCAGGTAGGTTTTAATCACTTGGCAATGTCTGCCATGGGGCAGAATAGGACATGCTCACATGAGCACAGCAAATGTGTTATCTCTGTTCTGGATGATGGCTACAGCATGAGACCTTCCTTTCTGCTCAAAAGTCTACGTTCTGTGAAGACCAGCCATCCATGACCTTTGAGTTTGCACACGGCACTCTTAAAAAAGACCATATTTGTTTAATTGTACTCTTTCCTTTTTCATTACTTACAGTTCTGAACACATTTCTGATTTGTTTCAGAGAAATGGAACTTGTTTAAATGATCTAGCAATGAGCATTCTGAAGACAAAAAATTAAATGGTACGAGATGCGCTATCGAGGAACACTGACCTTTTTTGCTCCTTGTTCTTCTTCCACACCATCTCCTATAACGACGTACACCACTTTTCTTCCAAACCTTTGAATTATCCTTTCAAAACAGCTTTCCTTTCCTAATACATAAAAATAAATTATAAAAGTGTAAAGTTTGGGTAACTCAGTGCTATAGCGCTTGAACTTTTTATACAAAATACTTCCTTTACGCTTCTGATTCAACTCTATCCTACTTGTACAAACTGGAAAAGAGTGCTTATAGATGCCATTTGGGTAGAATGTGGAACAAGGTAAATTATAAATTGTAAATTATCCATGTGGTGACTTGTCCCTTGGAAATTGTCGACTTTATTTTTTATTTTTTAAAGCTTATATTTTTATTTATTTTTGCGAGGGAGAGAGAGAGAGCATGTGTATGTGAGCATGAGCAGGGGGGTTGGGGGGTAGGGGGGCAGAGGGAGAAGCAGGCTTCCTGCTGAGCAGAGAGTCTGATTTGGGTCTCCATCCCAGGACCCTGGGATCATGACCTGAGCTGAAGGCAGATGCTTAACTAACTGAGCCACCGAGAAATTGTCAATTTTAATATTCTTTTCCCAATGGCTCATTTATTACAAAGTAGGATCTAGTCGATCATAGTATAGCATTTGGGAAAAAAAATAATGTTTTGCAGCTGTACTTTTTTTTCCTACCAGCTGAGACTTAATGAAGGCATGTAATTCTGGCATGCCTTCTGAACTTTATTTAAAAAATGTTTCACGATATACCAAACTCTGAAAATAATATCTGATCCCAAGTCTATTGGGAATGAAAGAAACTGACTGGTTTTGTTATAGCAGGAGAAATCAAACAGTGGAATCCCTTTATTCGTTCGTTTTCCAGTTGGGAGTCTATCTGAATGAAAGACCACCGCCCCCAGCCCCCGCCAAACCTAATGTGTTTACTTGGAATTTTCTGGTAAAACTGTTTCTGAAATAAATGTCAGGTAATTTGGGGCACTCCAGAAAGATCACACCTGCCCTACTCAGGCATCTAATGTCCAATAAAGCACCTTCCTAGAGGAAAAATGGGATAAAGGTAACAGAATACCTTTATCTAATCTTTCCCAAGTCAAGACTTGGGTTTGGGCTCTCTGGGGGCCCATCCCTACAGTTAACACAGCCACTGTTGCTCCTTTAGAGAAAAAACTGCTGTTCCAAGTCCTGGGCTGCCAACAGGACCATTTTAATGGACAATGGGATAGTTTATAGTTTTCAAATGTAAATGACTGAGCAGGCCGCATCTCTTTCAAATAAGGATCAGATATACTCACGAACAAATTGCTTGTTTGCTTAAACAAATGTCTGCTTTATATTTGTATTTTGCACTAAAATCTCTGGTTTGCATCTGACAGAATGAAATCTGGCCAGCCTTATTCAAAGGATGTAATTTCAATGCTTCTTTAGATGCCCACTAAACTGTGAAATATTAAATCACTTTAAGAAACAAATACAAAGGGTAGTTTCCACTGTAAAAATATACAATCAAAAATTCAGATGTCATGAAAGTTTTTTCCTCCTTAGAGGGAAATGTTAATGTGTTTTTGCCAAGTTTCCCTTTCATGGGAAAAGGAAGGTAAACTCAATGTTATTTAAAGGTGAGGCTGTGGTGGACAAAAAAATTTCTCACCTATATCCTATCTTCTATAGGCTTCACTGTAAAGTCTGGGTCACATAGATTCTTCCATAATAAAGACTGAGAAACTGAAGCTGACTTTTAGAAGCTAATGAGAGATCCTACACGAAATTTTCATTTTGATGAATCCATTTTATCTGGAAGAACATCATAGCCTTGCTAAAAACGAGATACCAGTTATCTCCTTCAATTACTGCCACTTGCCTAATAGGAAAGTTCCTGGGTTTTCTGCATCGACTCCCAAATTATATCTCATTTGATGGCAAAATTAGCAAAACTATAGGAGTTTTAATCTATACTTTTCTTCTTATTATTTTTTATTTTTTGAGAGCAAGAGAGTACATGCCTGAGGGGGGGAGGGGCCAAAGGAGAAGAAGAGGGAAAGAGAGAATCTTAAACAGGCTCCATGCCTGGCCCAGAGCCCAATATGGGGCTTGATCCTGGGACATTGGGGTCATGACCTGTGCCAAAGTCGAGTCGGACACTTAACTGATTGAGCCACCACCAAGGTGACCCATTTACTTTTATTAAAAATACCATAGAAAATTGGTTCTACCTCTGGTTTTGAGGTAATTTCTACCACCTTTTTTAATCCTCATTTTTAATTCTGTATTGATAAAAATTAAAGTTCAGTATCATAAAATACCCATTAACAATACCTATTATACACTTAATTGTTATAATTTTCTATTATCTTAATATTTTCAAATTATTTAAATTTTTTGGGATTAAAGTTCAATGCTCATGACATGTAATACACTACTTGTTCTTTCCTTCTGGGGAGTTAAGCACTATCCCTTCCATTCTATAAACTTTTTTGGAAATTGTTCTTTCATGTGCTGATAAATGTTTACCATGGACTCCTGTTTATAAAACACAATATGATTCCTCTTTATTGTTATGGATAACATAAATATCTCACTTAATGTAAACAGTTATTTTTACGGACTTGAGAACATATAAAATCTGGTTATATTGGGCTACCAGGAATTCTATTTGGAACATTCTTTTCTCTTAGTCTCTTTTCTTTTCTTTTTAAAAAATTTTATTTATTTGAGAGAGAGAGAGAGAGAGAGGTGTCGGGGAGGATCAGAGGGAGAAGCCGACTCCCATTCAGCAGGACTCTATCCTAAGACTCTAGGATCATGACCTGAGCCAAAAAAAAGGCAAACGCTTAACTGACTGAGCCACCCAGGTGTCCCATTCCTTTCTAAATATTTTCTAGCATTCTGTTCTTAGTGCTTCTCAGGAGGCATCAGTCATTCTCCAACTCCAGCTATTCCAACTTGACAGGGCTATGTGAATATCAGAGGGTCTTCACACTCAACATTGATAAAATCTAACTCTTATCTTTCCCATGACACCTGATTTTCCCCATCAGTTAAATGTGGAAGTACTGACCCAGTATTTAAGAAAAACCTCTGTCAATCTTCTTCAGAATAAACAACCGTTTGCTCATCCATTTTATTGAACAGACATTTACTGAGCACCTAGTATGTGCTGGGCACTATAGCCACAATGACGAGCAACACAGACAGAACCAGATATCAAGGATATTACAGTCTGATAGGAAAGTCAGACTATGAACAAATAATTATAAAAGTAATTCTTTAGCAAATATTTAGTAAATGCTTTTAAAAAATAGTATTGAAAGTATACAAGTGTAGTTAGATGGAGACTAGAATTCTATTTTTGCCCTTTTTTCTTTACACAGAATTGAGCAGCCAGAAACAATCTTCTTCCCACCTACTAGGATCCTCATCCCCCTTCCCCAGGACTCACTAAAATAATATCTCATTAGGATGATAAACAAGGCCACATACATCTAGACCTAAGTCTCTACCTTTCCAGCTTCAGCTTCCATGACCCAGGATGTCTTTCAGTCCTTCAGCAGGGAACGTGTTTTAATGTCTCCGTCCCTTTGCTCTCACTAGCCCATCTGCCTATTAACTCTTATGTATACCTCTATACCCAGCTCAAATGCCATTTCTTCCTTTTCGTGTTCACTTTATGCTTTCTGCCTCCTCCTGGGTGGGAATGAATGTTTCCTCGTTCAAGAGCACATTCAGGCATTTAGTGGTAGAGAGCTCCCTAGGTTACAGAAAGGAGTATGCCCTGGAATCAGACCTAGCTTGACCCTTACCTTTACCAGCTGTTAACTTGGACAATTAAGTCTCTGAGATTTAGTGTCCTCATTTGTAAAATGGAAAGGTTATGAAGATTGATTTTAGTATGTAAGATGCTTAGTATAGTTCTGGACATCTGCTAAATATGTGGTAACTGCTCATTTACATACTTCTTTGTCATGTTATAGTTATTTAGATGTCTGCTTCTCCCACTAGATGGTGAATCAAATTTCACACCAGTCATCTTTCTCCAACTATGATTACTTCTTTCAAACACTTAATTTTTTTTGGTATCCCTATAACAAAAATGAGAACTTGATTGTTTATACACGTTGAATTAAAATAAAGAAAAAAAAAAGATGGTTCCAGTGATAATAATTTAAAGAAAGCTATTAGAATTGTTTCATTTATACTTTGTAAATCTCCATATTACTATTTGTCTTAGCTTATTAGATATTTTTGGTGATGTTATCTAAAACACAAATAAGGTAATAATCCAGAACTGATGCTCAAGTGACAGTGGCTAAAGTGCATAGTATTTTTTTTTTTTAAGATTTTATTTATTTATTTGAGAGAGAGAAAACATGAGAGGGGAGATGTTGGAGGGAAAAGCAGACTCCCTGCAGAGCAGGGAGCCCAATGTGGGACTCAGTCCTGGGACTCCAGGGTCATGACGTGAACCGAAGGCAGTTGCTTAACCAACAGAGCCACTTAGGCGCCCTAAAATGCATAGGTCTTAACGTTAACCAGTAGAGTAATATTTTTTGAATTAAGCTGCATGGCTTATGATTTATATTTCTTTTGATGTCCAAACCCAATTCCAACAACAAAATTAGATTGTTCCTCTAGTTTTCTGACACCTAGTATAATGAAAAAAGTCCCATTTTCTTTTACACATTCACTTCTACTTGCCCGAAGAGAAAGAGACAGGTATAAAACAAAACGAAAGCAGCTCACCTATTTTTGTTGCACTGTAAATATTTTCTATTGGAAATACAATCCCTAATCCATATAACAGGACTTTTGCCAACGCTGGGATAAGTTGAGTAGTTGTGACTAAAATATTCACACAATTCGTCCTGTGAGAACCAAAAAGAAGAAAAAAAAAAAAGAAAACTGATGAAAATGAATCTCCAAAATGAACAAATATGAGCAAAGGCTGCTTTCCAGCAAAAGCATCATGGAGGGACTTGGGGACAGCCTACCGGGAGTGAATGAGCGTGAGTGCTTTCAGGGCCAGTGTCAACCAGGAGTCCGTCAGGGCTTCAATCTCGGCCCTCAGCTGTAGCCAGGCTTCCCTCTTGGCTGGACCAAGCAGGCCTGTGGATTTAAAAGCACATGAATTCCTTCGTTACCAGTGTGTCTGGCCAACTTTATAAATAATAAACATTTAATACTACTCCTGATATCATCCTCAAGCTTTATAGCATATCAGATAATTTTTCACATATTAGCATCCATTTGACAAATATTTATTTAGTACTGTAGGAAACATCTGTTGATTTTGCATTCCTTGCATCCTGGTTATAGAAGTCATCTCCTCTTTTTGAGGGGCCTGCTCCCACCATTCCTCAATCCTGAAGCCTGGATAGAGCCAACCCTACCCTCTGGCTCCCAGGGCAGGTGTATGATCGCAGCTTGGCCAGAGCGAGTCAGTCTTGGAACTTTTCCTGAATCTACTGGGAAAGGTATTTTTCTACGCCGCCAAGGTGCTAAACTCACAGAATATAAACTTGGATCTGTCAATGGTTGGGCACCTATACCACCTTACGGGAGGGACTGATCCAGAATAACTCCCACGCAAAGGAAAGCCTAGGCAGGATATTCTGGATGTCATCTTTTTAAGCATGTGGATTCAGTCATGCTGGAAACCAAGACACCCCCAAACTTTTCATTATTAAGTCAACATATTCCCTTGTAAGCTAAAGCTATTTTGAAACACAGTTGAATGAGCTTTACAGTCCATCTCAAGTGTTTTAGCCAAAGGTGGTTAATCCCACATCTCCTTGGAAGGACAAATGAGTATCAGAAAGGTCAAGAAACTGACTCTAGGTCCCACACACTACAAAGTAATGGAGCCAGGACTAGATTAGGCTAGCCAGGGTGGCTGGTTCAAGTTCAATATTCCTGTCACTAAATCACAACCGAATAATCACGGGTCAGATGAAACCATTCTAAAAAAGCTATGACATTAAAAAAACAAAAACAAAACAAAAAACAACAAAAAAAAACCCATGATGTGTAAGTGTGTGTGGTACTTGGAGAATTTTTCCTCGACTATCTCAGTAACCTGGTAAGATACTGGGGGTAGTTACTTGCCTCCAACGTTATTTTTGTAGGTATTGTAGATCTCTTTTACCCGTCTGTAGCGGAAAGCCAATTTTCTCATCCAGTCTACGCCACCTCGCACACCGGTTGCCAAGCATAAATTAGCACTGGTGGCTGCAGCAGGAAAGCCATCTGTTCCAAAGTTATATGTGCTATTTAGATGCAAGAAAAGCCCAATGTTAACCAAACAGAAAGTTCATCTTCATTAGCTGAGCCATTAAACTATAAATTGGAGAAAATCACTTCACATTTCAACATGCTCACCTTAGGTCTTGCCCATTATCATCTGAAGACACATCATCTATATGAACTTGGTCACATTCCTAAAATGCAATTAAAATGAGACAGGTTCATTCTCGAGGAGCATCTTCTTTTTTTGTTAGTTTTGTTTTTTTTTTTTTGAACAATCACACACAACTGTTTAACCTACCCCCCCAACTTTAATTGGACTATTTTTCCACAATGTCAATCAGTAGGGGTCAGTCTTGTGAAGTTGATATTTTTACCTACTCCAGTCCCTCTTTTAACATAAAAAATGAGCAATGTCATTAAGGACTACTGTTATTCAGCTTCAGAGAACACATTTTTGTGTTCAGAAAGGAAAGTGATTGAAAACAATTAGCATATGTGTTCCATAAACCTCAGGTACCTGAAGACATCACGCTGCTCAAAGCGGATTCAGTCAGTGCCCAGGCATAACTGAAACCAGACATTTCAGTAAATGTAACATGCTAGAAAAATTAAACCTGATGCTAACTGCCAATGAAATTATGACCTCTGATTGCTGTTGAGCCACACACCAACAGAGCCTGAGGCCAGTGGGCTGAGGAGCCCAGACGAAAAAATCTGTTACTCGTTTGCCATTGATTTGAGAGATGTGAGTTTTATTCTTTGTGTGTGTGTGTGTATGGGTGTAGGAGGAAGAAAGCATGGGAGGCTTCAAAACCCAAATAAAAACAATCAAACCATGGAGTGTTTTTTACTTTTTTTTCTTTAACTGTTTCACTATTATATATTCCTTTTAAGTGTTGGATTTATGGATTTATTATAGAATGAGGTTGTGGGAACAGACCTGATTTTTAAATCCCCAAACCAAAAACTGTTCAGAAGAGGAAGCTCTGATTTTTGAATACAGCTCTGTGAGACTGAGCTGATGATTATGCACCTGTTTGCATATGAGCACCCCAACATCCCACTGCGATATCCCCAGCCCGGAGCACAGATGTGTAAGGAGCAGACAGGTAAACATTTGTTGAACGAATGACAGCATACTAATCTGGAGACACACAACTAGGTCTCCTACCGATAGACAAGGCACCCACACCTGGTGTGCTTTAATATTTCAGTCATGATTCTCTGCAGACAGGCTCCGAACACCCCAGAGCCCTTCATCGTACTTATTTTTGTTAAAAGTTTGAGTTTAAAAATATTATTAAAAGATTTCCAGGTATGTACCCTGTATTTTAAAAGTTTCTCTTGACTAAAGTGCTGTTGTATTTCCTGTATAATTTTGTAAAATCTAGTCTGTCTAGTGGTCAACATACAATTTGTAAAAGAGACAACAGACATAAAGCACCACAGTAATACAAGGTGTATTTTTATGTTGCGGGTTCCTTCTGAACAAATTTTTTTCTCTCCACGGATTTGTGAGGAAGGGAGCAAGAGATAGAAGGGGAAAGAAACTCAAACCAGCTGTTGCTTAACAGAATTAAAATCGTGACCCCCCAACCTCTTCTCTAAAGCATCTACTTTCCAGGCAACCGCCTCCCAGCAAGCAGCAAGTTCCAAGGAGGAAAAGACTTTGACCTTGTAACCCTCCCCTGCTCTCCTGAGGTCCATAACCTCAGATAAGAAAGAGGAAAAGCCAGTCTAGGAGGCCGCACATGTGGGCTATGAATTTAACGTTTTAAAAAACAGGTCATTCCTGGAAAACATGTTAGAGGACTTCTCAGAGTTATTAATTTAATCACACTTCAGAAGATGAATGGTAGCTGTGTTTCCTCAACAAGGTACTTATCCCGGGTTTAAAGAGTGACTAAATCATGAGTGTAGACATTTCTGCCACTTATCTAGTCAGAAATACATTTTTCATGTTGTTGGTAAACAACTCTTTTGGGAGGCATGGTGAGTGTACAAAACAGATGAGAAAACTAAGACAAACCAAAAAAAGTGTACTGCAAACCACCCCCAAACAAAGACAAAGACAAAAACAAAACAGAAAAACTCAAAAAGCCAGAGCGCAGCCGTGGAAATTTTCTCTCTTTGGGGAGAAACAGGAGGTGCAAAGTGAGGAAGTCCAAGAGGAAAAGCTATGTTCAAAAAGGGTTTAATTTGATGAATCACACCAAAGCTGACTTACAAGTTACTCAGTTAACTCTAGGGGTGGGGAGAATTCCTTGAGAAGGCAGGGTGTTAAGAGGCTTTTCTTAAATGAATGCAGTTGTAAATCTCCATGACTAACAGAGAAGCCAGTTATCTTCCAGTGCTGTTAATGACTCCATTGTTGCTATTGTCCTCTCACATCCTGTATTTGTTTTCTCCCAGAGCTTTATCCAAGTCTTTTTGTTCCCAGGGCTGAGGCCCTCCTTTGAAGGACGGTTCAGGATCTCTGTTAGCTCTAATTGAGTGTCAACAACTTCGAGCTTCTACCTGCAGACCCCACTCACTTCTCAGAGATCTGATCAATTCTGGTGTGTTGGCAACAAAGAAATCGTCATTCTTCATCAGGAGAGGTGTTTTGTAGAATGATTTTCAGGAAAATAGATGCAACCATCAGGAGCATTTTTTAAAGGGCCTAATTAGCACCCCAGGAATAGAAGGTTTAGAAACCATGAAAATGTCCAAGTACAATATGTTTTCAGAACTGTCCGTGTCATTTAATGACAGAAAACTATTATGCTGCACGAACTTTGGGTAGATAAGATACATACTAAAGGTCTATTCACTGAGTCTTGGTGTGAGCTTCTACATCTTAGTAAAACTGTCTCAGGAAATAGGTTTTATTTTGATGAGAAACTATATTACTATTTTGATGTTTGCCTATTAACATTTTTAATTCCTCAAAGAACAGAGAATATGAAAATACAGAAGTATCTCGATACATGTGGAACGTGTAAACCTTTCTAAGAAGTGCATCTATTCTCAAATTAGAAACTGCAGTTCCCCGCATCCTGACATCTGAAATTCTCCATCCACTGGGATGAGTCTCTCCTTCCCCACTTTTCTTCGGAAACTATCTTTTGCTTGTCCTCTTAAGAGCCTAATTTTAGGTTTTCATGTTTGCTTTCCGAACTTTGTTGTTTTAGTGTCTAAATCTGTTTTAAACTCAGAAAATCAGATAATTGAAGGAGGGGAGCAGGCGTTCTGGACTTACTGAAACAACATGGCAAAATTTAAAGCCCCCTGGTTGAATCTATAGACATAGAAAACAAGAATGAAAGCTTCCCATATTTCTAGGCATCAAGACATAGTCCTAAAAACCCTATTTTGCTGCTTAATAAACAGAGTTTAGAACATGTAGAATGCCATGGGGAAAGGAAGTTTTTCTTCCAAAAAGACTGAATATGTTGAAGATGTATTTTTGAAATAAACCACCAAAAAGTCCACGACAGGGTTTTTAGGGCATTGAAGTCATTACTGAGCCAAGTCTTTGGCTAGCATTCCCATGTCTCAGGCCCACCATGGCCAGGTCAGCCAGTCTAGCAGGTTTTATGCATTAATATGCCCTGTTGAGATTGGAGATGCCCCAGGTAGCCCTGCTGTGTCTGGGGATCTGGCTGGGGTCCTCATCTGGGGAGAAAGTACTGCTTCTCAGGACGCCTGGTAGATTCCACACTCAATACACAACTGAGCTGGCTAATGGGTGCCTTAGCTTAGAAAAGTAGTCATTTATTCATTCACGTGTCCTCTTATTTATTAAGAACTTATTATCCAGAACTATGTTCTGGATGCTAATGATGCAACATTTAACAGACAAAAACCCTTACCATCTAGGTAACATTCTAGTCAGGCCAAACAAGAAAATACGCAAAATGTGTAATATGTTAGATGCTGATAACTGCTAAGGTGAAAAAACAGAGCAGGCAAGGGAATGATGCAATGCTGTGTGAGGTCTGGGGAATGGCTCTGCAGGCCAAGGATCGAGCAGGTTCAAGGGTCCTGAGGCAGGAGAACCCTATGTGCTGGAGGATGAAGCAGGAAGGAGGCACTAGGAGGAGATCAGCCATCAGTTGGGAAGAGTTATAAGGGCTCGCAGGTGACCTCAAGGCGCTGGTTTAGGGAGTAGCATCCAGTTTCCAGCCCCTGCCCTCAAGGCACATACAGTTTAGTCAGAAAGAGAGAAGTTAATTAACTCCACGTGAGATAAATTACAATGGGAGTAGATGCTCCCAACTGCCTTGAGGAGCATTTAAAGGAACATCCTCCTGCTGAATGGCTGAATTCTATTTAGTCTAAAAGAGCTTCCAGGTCTGAAAAACTTCAATTGTGTTTTGCTAGATTGGGGAGGGACAGCACCGCCCACCGTTTATCCTCGGTGCTTTTGTGATGAAAGCAATCAAGAGATCAACAGCAGACTCAGACTGGAGATGGTTCACAGTCCGTGAAGCTGTGGTAACCGAAACAAAACACAGCTTTTTGATCCCAGACTGTGGACGCCAGACCGCGACTTATGGTGGTGGTGAGGAGGGGGTGGGGGAAGGTGGCAGTTGTTGGGCAAGCCGGGGGAAGGTGGCAGTTGTTGGGCAAGCCGTCCTTCCCTCTAGGAAATAGCCCAGACTTCTTTCGCAGACATGCAGGGAACTCTATGGAGTTAGCAAGCAGGTCCCCTTCCCTTACTGGCTGGTTTTTGTTACCCTCTCAGTAACAGATTTGAAATTTGCTACGGCAGCTGGCAAGGGATCAAGAGGCGGGAAAAAGAGTTATTTTTTGATAATGGCTTTTCAAAGGGAGGTCAAAATCAGCAATTTTGATACAGATAATTTTGATACAGAGCATACAGAGCTCTGTATCAAGTCAGTGATGGAGAAATATATAATTAACAGTTTTATTTCATCATTTTGCATATACACTCACATAACACAAATTCTCAGAAAGAGTCAGGGCCAGTGCTAGGCCAAGTTGTGATTATCCTTCACGAGGAGAATTTTACAATTAATTACCAAATTTAGATTACTGCTAAAGCAACTGGAGGTTGGCCTCTCCCTTTTCGGAAATCCTAAAGCACCAGGGATATAACAGCTATTGATGGCACTTGATTAAATATCCTATTTTGACACTTGGTATCCCTTGAAGAGTATATTCCTTCCTCCCCAAAGGGGTGGCA